TCTCCACTAAATTAGGATCTTTTCAAAATATTGTATTTTTCCTAAATAATACACCAGATGCACAGTTCTAGCAATATATTTGCATTGATCAGTTATGTTTCACCCATGTCACTGAATCCTGAAAAATAAAAATTTCATCATAATTCTCAGCTCAAAACTATTTTGCGTATTTCTCCCCCAGGGGCAAAGTAAAGGCTGTCAGTTTCTTGTTACCCGTGGATGTGTCATCTTGTTCGGAAAATCAAGGTTCTTTCACATGCCCACAAAATGAGGACACAAAACAGTTAAGCACCATTATTGAAAAGGACATGTGAGTTGGTGAATTTTTTAAGGGGCCATTCCTGACTCCAGAGGTAAACTAGCCTGAAGAAACAGCACCACATAGGATTTTATTTCTGTTAAGTGCTTTGACAGAATGCCTTCAGAGAATTACCCAGGCAGTGTTTCAGGTCATTGAATGATTCTTTAGCAAGGAGATTAAAAAAAAACTCTTGGAGAAACCATTAAAAACCTATGCAATGATAACAGATGGCTTTCCACTGTGTGTGAATATATGTATATACTATATATAGCTATATATCTATCTATAAATCTATGAAACCAGCTCAAAGACTGAATTAAACAGAATTAAACAGCTTTAATATAACTGATTTCACTGCTGTCTTTTTATGAGAGCACTCAAAATAACATCTCTTTAATGCCTGAGATGCCAGAAAATGTGTAAAGAAAATTATTGTCTGTTATGAAACTGTAAACTGTGCAAAAGAAATACAGGGTTACATCTGGCTAGTTATCTAGTAATGTGATTGTGTCTCTTTTCATGTAGCCTACAGCAACATTCTAGCAAATGAATAGACACTAAGATACAGCAAATGTAAACTATATCCAGATGTTGGTTTATTAACACTGAACAGGCTAAACGCTTATAGCTTGTATATCACATGTATTGTCTTCAAAATGCCTGCTCCTCATTCATGAAATGAGCCAGTGCACATATTATATGAGTGGACTTTAGAGATACTGTAAGCATGAACTTCAGTTTATCAAAGTGCTGAACTATGGCAAATGTTAAACAAAAAAGAGGAAAGTCTGAAACTCAACAAAACTTGGCTCCCAGCTCTCAAAAATACAGCGTGCTAAAGGTCAATGAACTCTACCCAGCCACAAGGTCAGGGGATCACTACACACAAAAGACCCATCAACCACAGTGACAGATAATCTCTCCTTCTTATCACAACAATACACCCACAACAAGACACACTAATCACCCATTTACAGAAAAAGACAAAAGCCCATCTCACAGCCATAAATACTCCACTCCCAAGCCAACTATACCAGAGCACAGAGTGCTGTCCTCTACAGATGCCGGCCACAGAGACTGGTGAAACGTTAGGAAGAACAACCTTCAGAACACGGCCAAAGAGCCCAAAAAACCCACAACAATCAGCCTAGGGTTTTTTTTTAGCAGCTGGTAAAATATGCTCAGTACTTTCAAATGTTCCAGTACTTCAAGTGTGTGAACGCAGCATCTCTCTCCCCTGTTCTTGGCTTTTAGATGTGATTATGCTGTGCCATCTTGACACACAGAAAAACACCTTGGTGGCGAGCTGAGGTGCTCTGTGTCAGCTGGGAGTGGAGGGTGCTTGCTGGCAAGGTTTTAAAGAACTGAATACACACCCAGACACAAACATAAAACATTTTCCTCCTCTTATGCAGCTTGCCTGAAGATTTATCTTCCTGCCAGGAATCTAGAGAAGCATAACTGTTCCATGAGATTCTAGTCAGTGGTCTGACATTTGCAGAAGCAGGTTTTTGTAAAGCTAATTGCTCTTATCTGCACATTCAAGGTCAAAGCACTCTCAAATACTTTGCACTGCAACAGGTGTAGCTCAGAGCGCCATAATGCTGCTGGAAAAATCCATCTTCTTAAACATTTGTCACTGTGAACATGAAGGAATAGGGAATTCTGGCAGGATGGCATAGGATAATACTGCCCTTGCTGATCAAAAAGCACCATCATTTTAACCCTGTGAACTTTGGCTCTATGACCCCGCCCCCATGAGTAGCAGAAAGATCAGTAGGCCATCAGAGATGCTTGACCGATCTATTGTAGCTTACAAATGAAATGTTGCAATGCAGGGGACAATATGTATGAGATTGTTTGTGTCCTAGCAGAATGCCTCCCATGATGTCAAGGTGCTGATCCTGTTTTATTTCATAGACCAATGGAAGGTGAAAGTCCTGTGGGAATTTTATCAGAGGACCTTATCAGGAAGGACCAAGCCATCTGTCAGGAAGAATTGAGGGCAGGTTTGCCATGGCCACATATTTGCCCCTCTGAGCATGGGTTTGCATTCCCATGTTTCCTTATTACAAAACTATGCTATTATATGGGGCTCAAAAGGTACAGATGTTCAAAGCAGAAGAGAGTCTTTGCAGTGTTTTTAGGGGTCACCCTAGCTCAGGGATGGCGAACCTATGGCACGTGTGCTACAACTGGCACACAGAGCCCTCTCTGTGGGCACACGAGCCATAGGTCGCCATAGAGAATTACCCGTCCTCCAAGCTCAGATTTTGGCACTCCCCTCTACTGGTGCAGTGGTCCATCAGAGGGATGCAATGGCAACCATTACCAATCTAGCCCAATGGGGATGGGAGGACCAGGAAGTATTTCTTTGTTAATATCGCCCATGGGGGGGGGGAGCCACAAGCATTTAACCTTTGCAGTGCAGGAGCAGTTGTTTTTCTCTAAACTAAAACCTCAGCATTTGGGTTTTAATTGCAGTATTGGCACTTCGAAATAAATAAGTTGATTTTGTGTTGCAGTTTGGGCACTCAGGCTCAAAAAGGTTCACCATCACTGTCCTAGCAGCTCTGAATCAAGCTTTTACAGCTGTACCTACTTGCAAAGCTCTAGCTTGGATCCTTCCTTAGTAACACCAGAAAGTCACTAGAGGTTGATGCAGTTCTTCCACACAACTCAGCATTGACCCAGAGTAGTTATGGTGGCTGGGGGACATTGGGAGATGTAGTCGCTCAAAAAGGTTCACCATCACTGCCCTAGCTGCTCTGAATCAAGCCTTTACAGCTGTACCTACTTGGGGGATATTGGGAGATGTAGTTCCCAAAAAGTATTTTTCCCCCAATCTCTTTGCTAGCCATTAGATTGGATGCTGAGTAGTAGAGTCCCTTCCAGCTCTGCAGTTATAAGATGATGATGCGGATAGGGCTCAGGCAGTCCAATGTTCATGTCTGAAAGTACCTGAAACCCTGGACTTGTGGTGGGTTCCGTACCAAATGGATCATGTGGCAATGATGATGGTCTCGCTGAAATAGTCCTTTGACAATGACAAGAGTTTCTTTTAATCTCATTTTAAAAAGAGTCCCTATTTGATATCTCATATAAAACATATAAAACATTTATTGCTCAAATAGAAATTATGCCATACGTTTTGAAGGTTTTTACAATGACACTCATACAGTTTGGGGAGACCACATCTGCATAACTGAGTCTTGATGGAAAACACCCGAGACACTCCTACTGTACATTGCAAGCATGGCTGCTGATCATCATGATGTTTACTGACATTGGACAAAACTAGGATGTTGAACAGCTGGGGATAAAATCAATTTATTCTATTCAATCTCAAGGTTATTTGCAGTTGTGAAATTATCTGCCCACACAATCCAAAGTCCCTTTATCATGCAAATCAAGTGAAGGTCATTTCCAGAGTTCAGTTAAGTTCCTTTTGGTGGAATACAGCTTGCCATGTTAGCTGGGGTGATTCTGGGAATCATAGTTCCCCAAAAAGTAATTTTTCCAAGCCTTGATGATTTCAGACCTACTGGGGGTTCCCCTTGACAATTTTTGTCCAGTCATAGTTCCCCCAAAAGTAATTTTTCCAAGCCTCGATGATTTCAGACCTACTGGGTGGTGGGGAAGAAAGGAAAGACACTGATAGCTGCAGACTGTGGTCTTCGGAGCAATGAATCTACCCAGGTTTCGATCAGAACTTTTAAGCAGTTATCCAATATGCTGAGCCTATTTGGAGGATGGAGACAAGCATCTCGGAGATCTCTTGTAGAACTCAAGTCTAAACCAAAGTGGATTCACAGCCCCATCAACACTGGATCCACTAGCCACTGGGAGTGGAGCTGTCTGGCAGCAAAGCAGAGCCTAAGGGTTCAGAAAGGCAGCATCATTTGCCATGTTCTTGAAGGTTAGGCATGATGCCAGTGCTTATGTAAGAAACCAGCAGCAGCCAGTCCCAAGAAAGAGATAACTTGAGGGAGTCCCAAGGTATGCTAATATATATGAAATGTTTTCAAAACAACGAAATAATAATTACATGCTGTCAAGTTCATTCTGATTTATGGTAACCCTCTCCAGGGTTTTCTAAATATAGAATACTCAGAACGTGTTTACCATTCACTTCTTCTGGAGGCACCCTGGGATAGCTCTTACCCTGGGATGCACAGGTGGGAATGGAACCCACAATCTCTGGTTCTGAAGCCAGATGCCTCACTCACTGAGCTATTCAGCCATCAGAAGCAGTGGCATCAGCAACAACAAAATGATATTTTTAGAAAGTTAAACAGGAAGAGTAAAGTCATACATGTGTGACTATTAATGTAGAATGGTTGAATTAGACAGTTACCCCGCATGACAGTTTTTTCACTAGACATTGACTTTTTGCTATCGCTATAGGGATTCGCAAAACAGTGATTCCTATGGGGGAATTTTGCTGGACGATGTTTGGTCCCTGCTTCGCAAAGCAATTTTCGCTAGATGACAATTTTGACACCTTCCTCCGTGCTCGCAAAACAGGTGTTTTTGGAACCTAAGCTTCTCAAGACAGCAATTTAAACAGCTTATCGGCGGTTCGCAAAGCGGCTTTTTTATGGCCGATCTTCACTAGACAACGACGATTGTTCCCCATTGGAACACATTAAACAGGTTTCAATGCATTCCAATGGGGAAATGCTTTTTGCTAAACAATGATTTCGCTAAACAGCGATTTCAGTGGAACGGATTATCATCATCTAGGGAGGCAACACTGTATGTCTTAACCGAGCTCTTCAATACTATAGTATTGGTTTTATTCAGTATGGATATGAACTTTAGCAAATATGTAACCAAATTACAATATGAACCAAATTGGGAATATTTGTGCATTTCTCAGGTGACCACTGAGGGAGAGATCAAAGAGTCCAATGGCATTTACAGAATGGAGCAGTACACCCATGGATCACTTGTGTTAAATTCACATGTCACATTAAGCAGTAGAGAAAGAGAAACTAAGGACAATGAAGGAAAGTGTGCTTTTTACCTTAGAAATTGCCGTTTCTTGCCTTTCTTGCTGCAAAATGCTTAAATCATCAAAATCTTTTGGTCACAATAGCAATAATTTTAGATTCAGCTATCAGAAAAGGAGTGGGGAGAAAGAAAGAAGACGAGAAAGACCAGACTCCTTTCATTGCCTTTTAAGAATGGGTCTAAACGGAGTCTGCCCATTGCCCATTGCACTGGGAAGGGAGCTGGTCCCTCACCAGCTCCCTTCCCAGTGACTGCCTTAGAAAGTTCATGGGGGCTTTTTCTCAGTAGTTGGGAGGGGGAGAGAAGTATGAAATAGAGCACCTAGCTCGGCAACTGCCACTACCTTGACTGCCCTGGTTGCCCTGTTCAGTCTGTGACCTGGTCCTTCCCTTTGCAGTTCCCTGTTTGTGGAAGTGGGGTCTTCGCAGAGAACCGGAAATGTAGAAATACCATCACGGACTCGACACGAATCAGGTTGGAGTGTCTCCAAAAGGCACAGGACAGGCTGGTCACAATCTATGCCCTCTTTATTCAGACACAGCTCAGGCTTCCATCAAACTATGCTTTGGTGGAATGTAAACACATTATGGGATAAAGTCACAAATGCTTTCCAAAATATGGTGGCACCTACAGAGCATTACTCCTGTCTTCCACAGCTATATGTACCATGTTCATACACATAAGACGAGTTCACACTGTGGTCGAGAACACATCAGTGTTGGTTTCATTATTGCTACCAGCGATTGAAAGACATATCAGCGTTAGACCACATGATGCACTACCATACGCAAAATCAAGACCCCAAGAGATCAATGGCAAATATAACGTCACAGAATAGACTCGCACTCTTTAGCTTCAAAGTTCAGGAGCTGTTTAAAGCAGATTGCAGAAATTAGATCGGACATTCCTGACAGGAGCATCCTGTGCCACTGGCTTACTTCTTTCTTGTAAGTGATGAGGGTGAGGTTCTTTGCTTGGCTGCTGGTCACCATGGAGAATTATGTAGGCTTCTGCATCATGTGGGTTGCCTATGAAGATAGAGTCCTTCTATGAGAGCTCTTAAAGAACACGGATCCTCTGTCAACAGCTATATCCCGAGGGAGCATAATAAGACCTTTCATACCTGGGTCCATTTTAACAGTGGGCATTGTTATCTGTAACAAATTACTTTGAGGACTAATAGGAAGCTATGGCATCCTCCCCTCCAATAATAATATTTATTTTTTTATTTAAAATAGTTTTACATTCTATGAGAGCTCTTAAAGAACACGGATCCTCTGTCAACAGCTATATCCCGAGGGAGCATAATAAGACCTTTCATACCTGGGTCCATTTTAACAGTGGGCATTGTTATCTGTAACAAATTACTTTGAGGACTAATAGGAAGCTATGGCATCCTCCCCTCCAATAATAATATTTATTTTTTTATTTAAAATATTTTTACACCACCTTTTTCCTTGAAAAGTACCCAAGGTTTCTTACGTCATTAAAAGGCAGAATGTAAAGCTGGCAACAGTTAGTATACAAATACTATAAAGGAACAAACAAATAGCAGACTAGCAGCAAACAAAAGCAACACCAAAGCACATTCAAAGCAGTAATGTACAACAGTACATTTAAAAACCCCATTCAGGCAGCCAGTCATTAAGTGAAAACTTGCCTGAAGAAAAAGGTCTTCACCTGCTTGCAGATTGTCCATAAATATGGGGCCAGCCTGGCCTCCTGTGGGAGGGGTGCCAAGTGTGGGAGGGGTGCCAAGCAACGGAGAAGGATCCAAACACACCTGTGAAGGTGGCAGGATCAAAAGATCGGCTTCTCCTGTTGATCTTAACACTTGGGCATGCGTGCCAAGCAACGGAGAAGGATCCAAACACAACTGTGAAGGTGGCAGGACCAAAAGATCGGCTTCTCCTGGTGATCTTAACACTTGAGCATGCATATAAAGGGAGATGTGGTCCTTGAGATAGCTTGGTCCCAAGCTGTTTAGGGCTTTATAGGTTAGAATCCATGCTTTGAACCCTGCCCAGGAACAGATCAGTAGTCAGTGCAACTGCTCTAACAAGGAGGGTTACTGATCCCTGTGACCAGCCTCAGTTAGCAATTTGGCTGCTGCATTTTGGACCTGGTGAGGTTTTCCTGAGGCATTACAGTAGAGCATGTTCTAGTAAGACAGCTAGAATGTAACTAAGGCATGTGTCAACATTGAAAGGTCAGGCCTCTCCGGGAGAGGAGCAGCGAGCACACTAGTTTAATTGTGCAAAGGCATTCCTGGCCATCGTCAGAACCTGAGAGAAAGAGGAAGGCATGTGACTGAAGCAGGAGAAGAATTGGAGGAGTAAGGGAGTGGACTTGTTATGACATTGAGGGAAAAATTGAAACAACTATGGATGCTTGGTATGAGTCAGTATGAACCAATGGGGGAAAGGGACCACACGTCATTTGGATGCACCCTAAGACTCCCTTTGAAGGGGAGAGTAAAACTACTCTCATTCTAGACTAGTCCCACAGAGCACCCGCCTTCTTAATACCTGATAAATCCTTCACTCTTGTTTCGTTTCTTCCTTTAATGTTGGTGTAGGCTTCTGTGGAACTATCTGCATATTTCATTGCTATGGCTGGAAGCAATTCCTCATCTGAATTTGCTGGCATATCTTGAAAATTAATAGAAAGAGGTATAATTCAATTTTTACAGAAAAGAAATTGCTGTTCACTGTTCCAGTTACCTCTGTCCTTCTTTAGGAAACCCCATTCTACTTCTTCTTCCACTATCCCTTCCCCCCCAGCCCCGCAAAGCTATCCAGTCACCCCCTCACCACTGACCATATCCAACCTTCAATGAACTGGTTTTGATCTTCTCCAATCAGCAAGGATCCCCTGAGGAGGCATACCAGCCTGTCTGCCGTTGGTGCTCTGTGAGCAACGTAAGTGAGGATGCTCTCAGCTCAAATGGAATAAATGTTAACGTGAATGGAATCTTTGATTGTTTTCCTTCCTCTACCTTGTGAACAGGACTTCTGGAATGCTTCAGGTCTGCCCTCTTGAGTTAAGTGGGCAGGATCATGGCTGAGGTCCAGTTGACTAGCCGGCCGTCCCATTATTTCATTCTCAGTTGTAGTTATGTTTCGGATCAGAAAATAAGTGTACATTTTCCCTTTTCCCTTCACATCAATCTCTCCTCTTTCTAGCATCTCAAAATTTTTGTCCTTTAAGCATCTGAAACAGAGAACAATACACTGTTTTTGCATAAAACAGTAACCGCATCAGTACCTTCAATCAAAAAAATATGCTTCAAACCACTCTGTTCAAGAGAGAATTGATTGACTTGAAGTTACGCACTGATGCACGCTGGCACTCAGGTGAATTTTGCTTGGTACTCCGTGACTCTCCATCCGGGAGGCAATATTCACAGTGTCTCCGAACAAGCAATAACGCGGCATTTTTTCTCCAACAACACCAGCGAGGACAGGCCCTGTGTGGATCCCAACTCTAATCTAAAGAAAGATTTTTAAAGCAAAAAATAAACAATCAGTTCCATGACAGGATGAATTTCAAGCACAACCTGTTCATCATTTCTGACCCATAAACTAAAACAGAAAAACCATAAGCAGAGTTCCTTGTAGTAAAGTCTTTAAAGTCAGAAGTAGGCAGAAAGTATACTCAGATATCTAGGTGACTTGCAATTGATTACAGATTTCTGGCTTCTAATAGTCATATACGGAAAAGAGTGCCTGCATCTCAAATTAAGCCAGTGAAGTGAACAAAGCTGGGTGAAAAGCAGATGTACATTCATAAATAATGTGAACTCTGAAAACAAATATGTATACATGCTCAGAGGTGCATATTATATGTCATCAAGTCACGTCTGACTTATGGATACTCTAGAAGGGTTTTCTTGGCTTATGGGATATTTAAGAAGGTTTTACTATGCCATCTCCATCGCCCCAATTGAGTTTCCATGACTGAGCAGCTATTTGAACCCCAGTTTTGGGGTCCATTATTCTATTTACTACACTACACTAAATCTCTCGTAGAGATATCCTATCCTTAAATTCTATGCGTATGTCTGGTCTTTAAAACCATTTGATCCTGGGATTCTAGCAGAACCCAAAATCCTACAAGCCTAAAGTCTACCCCAGTTCCATGTTAAATGGCATTGTGTGACTATTTTCAATAAAAGCCAAAATGATTTTTCATGAAATTGGGTATCCTTAACATGAATGTCTCTTGCCACAGCAGGAGGTGGAAAGTCCCCCCTTGGAGACAACAGAGTTGTGGTGGCAAGTAGTGAATTCAAATATTTGAAATGGTTTGCAAACAGTGTGACCTTCTGGACAGCATTTTGGAAGTAGGATTGCTCATCAGCTCTCCATTCCCTGAGAAGGTCAAAAAGCAAAGAACCAGGGAAGAGTTTGTGTGATGCTCCAGGGGAGAACCCTTGGGTGGGTGTTTCTGATGCCACAAAGGCAGATCGAAAAATGCTTCCTCCCAACTGCTGAGAAGGCAAGGGCTGGGAAGGAAGCAAGCATAACACACCTACAGACTCATGTCCACTATGACACCTATCAGTGGCACCAACTGAGGTTGACTAGAGATGAGAGCCCTATCTTTACAGACACTTCACAAAGATCAAATTCTCTTTTCCTCTAGCACTGCACACCTTAAGGCTGTTCTCCTCAACTGAAGAAGTACAGCAACTCTCTGAGACTTCATCTGGCACCCTGAGACCTGGCCATCCTGTATGTGAAAGGATGAGGGTTACTATAGTGACACAGGGACTAATCCACTAGGAAATTCTCCTGTTTAACCTCATTTGAAAAGAAGCAGGAATACCAGGGATGGGGGCTTGAGTTGTGGGACATGCTCTCAAGTTGGACTTAAGTCGCACCGATGACTCGACTTGGACTTGACTTGGGTCTTTTTTCTCAATGACTCAGACTCAACTTGTGACTCAGAATCCAGCCACTCCTCCTTTTTTTCTGGAAATAAAAGCTTTTTTTAAAAAAAAAATACGGATTTTGACTTGGGAACTGGAACTCGGGACTTGGTACCAAAGATTTGGACTCGGACTTGAGACTCGGAGCCAAAGACTTGCCAACATCCCTGAGGAATATGTACGTATTAAAAGAAACAGGACTATTTATTTATTCTAAACAGCCTGCCAAGAAAAAAACATAATATCATAAAATCAGATTTTTAAAAAATATATATTCTTAAAATGTGCCCAGTAAAGTAATTCAATGCACAGACTGTTAGTACAATTCATATAAAAAAAACAAAATATCTTTGGAGACTGTTAAAATATATTCCAAAAATGTGGAGATGCCATGCAAAAAGCCATGCAAATTGTAGCATCTTCAATAACAGGACAAGAACAGAACCTTGGACTCTGCCTTTACTGTGTAGATGGAGGTGGTCTACGAGACACCAAGTATAGGGAGCAGGATCTTCCACAAAAACCTTCTTGTGCATTAAGGGGTTTCCATGTCTGACTCCTTCTGTTCTCTAGCTTATGAAGAAAGGGTTGTATTTAAGCAACTGATGGAAGACCCAGATTATAACAAAAATAAATAACACTGGAAAATCCCTTGTTGTTGTTATCTAAACCTGAAAACCTATGATAGATTTTTAGACAGCTGAAAACAGTCTGAAAGAGTGGTGGCTGATTGTGGTGTTTATACTTGTGGTAAGCAATTTTTTGTTGAGGGAAGGGCAAACATCCCAAAAGTCTGTAGAACTACTATAGAACAAGGTAAATGCATGTGTGCATGCATCACTAGAAGCACAGCTTGTTTCCAATATTTTTGGCTCTCTAGAAAGTCATTGCCTGTCTCTAGCCTGAAATACATAGCCTGAATGACAAGATTCTTTATATCGGCTTCATGAACATCCTTTATAGCAGATAGCTTTGATAAAATCCCATTAAATCCCACTTCTCTAGTCTAGTGGATCAATGTGCTGCTGAGGCTACTCAGAACTTATCCTGCAGTGGCATTTCTACTTTACATGGTCTCCTAGCAGTGTATTTCAAATACAAAGGCAGACAGCTCTGCCATGTACCTGTCATATCCTAATACAAATAGCTTCACACCCTCTGATATATCTGTTAGCTTTGTGCATGCTTTCATTTATATTGAGAACATTTCACCTCCAACTGAAGTGAACAGGGCTGCACACTATCAGACTACAACTCCCATCAGCCCCAGTCAGCACAGCTAATGGTCATGGATGGTGGAAGTTTCACATCAGCAGTTTTGCACATTGCTCAATACCTAGAACAAAGCATATTTGCAGACATGGGATGACTGTGTGCAGATTAAGGCTGTTACAGATATAAAGAATGAATTGGCCTATACTTTGGTCATGCGCTGTTTCCAGACATTTGCTGATCCGACCTATAAAATCTTTTACATGCTGTGTGTCTAAGATGTCAGTGGCAGTTTATGATTCACTGGGTTGGATCCAGCTCTAATCATAGGTAGAGTAGACCTAAATCTCACTGACTGAGCAATGACACAGTCATTAATCATAACGAACTTAAAACCCACTGATTTCAATGGATCTGCTCTCCATATGAATCTGGACCCTACTCAGTGGCTGAAATCCACTAATAACTTGTAACTAGAGAAGGCCCAATGACTCAACGGAACTTCCAGAGGATGTGACTCACCACATAAACACTGATTTAAGATAGCTACTCCAGTTGCAATTTACAGCTGGATTTCAGCCATTATATACACTTCATTTATAAGATCCCAGGTTACTGATTGATTGCTTAGGTCTATGACTTGTAACAAAACATCTTCGTTCTCAAATAGTAAACGGGGTGGGGGGGAGAAGGGGTGGATGTATGTGTGTGTGTGATCCTACTCACTTGAATAGGATTGCCAGAAACTGGATTCTTGATGTCTTTGGCTGCTATTATCATTCCTAGGGCAAAGTTGGCAACTCGTTCAGCATGTGTTGATACAGGCACAGGAACACCCCCAACCACCATGTAGGCATCCCCTATGGTCTCCACCTTTGAAAAGAAGCAGACACATCACGTCATTTACATTGTTCCTGCTCTGTTTATTCAAAGCTGAAAGACATCCTAAGCATTCTGTTGATGCAGGAATCTACAAGTAAAGCATCTCTGACAGATGCACCTCCACCAATTGTTCAAAAATCTCCAACAGAGGACAATATGCCACTTTTTGGGTAGTCAAACAGTGTTTACCATAAGAAAGTTCCTCCTACGTAAGTTTTAGTGGGAAAGTTCCTTCTTAAACTTCAAACCAATTGATTTGCGCCCTGCTATCCAGAGCATCAGGAAAAATGCTTGCTCCATCTTCCACCTGATAGCACTTCAAATATCTGAAGACAGCTATCATATCATTCCTCAGTCTTCTCTACTTTTTTGCTGATGGCTGTTGTAGGTTTCTTGGGCTGATAAGGGGGATCCTTATCACAACAATACATCCATAACAAAACAAAACAAAACACCCTGATCACCATAATCACCCAATCTCCTGAAAAGGACAAAAAGCTGATCCCACAGCTACAAATATTCAACTATTTCACACAGTACACCAGAGCACAGACAGAGTTCTAACTCCTGTCCTCTAAATATGGCGGCCAGAAAGACTGGCAAAACATTAGGAAGAAAAACCTCCAGAACATGGTCAAATAGCTCAAAAAACCTACAACAACTAGCGGATCCCGGCCATGAAAGCCTTTGAGAATACATATTTTTCCTGAATTATGAATTTTTTGTACCATTTCCTTTGGTGCACTTTTCTTTACATGCCCTGGTTTGTGTGCATTTGTAAGTTACCAACTAGATTATAAAATTCTGAAGAGCAGTGGTTTGCACTGTAAGTATATTTCAATTTTCTTACAGCTTTAGCAAATTCAATTCTCGCCTAGAGTGGTCATAACTGACTAGATAGGTGGGATATAAATTCAATAAATAAATAAAATAAATAAATATTTTTTTTCAAAAATTCGGGCCTGGGTAATTCTTCCTTTATCCATATTAAGCCATTAAGACAGAGAACCCATACATGTCTCTTCTGCTACTGGGTACTTAGAACACAGTCTACCATAATCACAAATGTAAAATGTTTGCTGGAACAGACCAATACCTGAAGATATACAGAGCAAAGCAAAGTTCTCATGAGTTATTAAGGGGACCTTTTGCTTGCCTTAGTTTTTTTGTCTGTGTTTTTATTAGCATGGATGTTTCATACTTTTAATATTCAATTTATTTCAGAACACAATGCCTGAAACTGCCATACAGCATAACTTTTAGGTGTACATTTCTGTAAGTTAAGAAATCTTGATAGGGTTTATTTGTTGCACTCTAACATGCATGACTTGGCATGGGACAGATAATGTCTATGGACATTTCTCAACTTATAGAAATTTACAACTAAAGTTTATGCTGTTTGCTTAACTACACAATACAATTTCAGTCAATATTACTATATTCAACTCGAACTTAAATATAGCATGTGTTTTCCAGGGAAATAGAAATGCATTTTGTCTGTGGTTATGTGTAGAATTTTCTTGAATCATTCCCAACCTGCCTTGTCATTTGGCTAATGGCAAGTCAGAATATGGGTGGTATAGAATACACCAAAGGACAAACAGAGAAGGAGCAGGATAAAGGGAGATTGAGGGCAGAATAAGGTAAAAGAAACAGTAGCACCACCACCAAAGTTTCATCATCATCACGACCATCATCTTACAACTGCAGAGCTGGAAGTAACTCTATGGATCATCATCACATCCTGTCAAGGAAGCACAGTGGGGAATCGAATTCCCAACCTATGGCTAAACCATTGAGCTATCCAGTAGTTTACAATCATGCATAGTCCAGATAATTTAAATTAGAGTGGGTTTCAAGGTATTTCCTTCTTTGCTCTTTACAGGGGCTGCTGGCAATCTGGAACTGAAGAAAGCAGGGAAACTTGGCCATCCTCAGATGATCTTCCATTCAAGATGGCAAAAAGGCTAAGAACCCATTATTCTTGATCTATATTCCGTTTTCCTCAGTAATATCACTTTCACAAAATTAACTGAAAATAATGGCACTGGGCAAGTACCTTGTAGACATCGTGCACTGTGGTCAGTCTGTCGAATCGCAGGTACATCGCATTTAACAAGAGAACTATCTGAATCGGTTCACACTGGGCACAAATGTTGGTAAAAGTCACAACATCACTGAATAATATGGTGCATTCTTTAAACTCTCCTGAAAAAGGGAAAATATATTTTAGAAGTCTTTTGTATTTTACTGGCCCAACTGGACATTAATCATTCTGAATGCAAATGTACTGCTTCATTCATTCAATCAATATAATATCTATTTATAAAGTAACTACATGTCAGACAGTTTTCAAAAATATAAGTATTTTGGTAGTTGCCTTGCTAAGAAAAACAATCCATAGAGACCTGTGATGGATAAAGTAATTACAATGGTACATTAAAAGATTAAAACAACCAACTATAAGAAAACAGGACAGTAGACCCACAATTCCTACAGCAACTTGGGGATCCTCTCTTAAATAGCTTGCAATGTTTTGCAGCTCAATTTCGGTGGCATGCTTTATAGATGTGCCTTGGATGGCATTAAACCTGGCCGTAGGAGCTGCATAGGGACTATGGACTGCGTATTAGCCATTACTGGCATAAGTCACAGTCCAGCCAGATTCAAATGAAGTCTCTTAGATTTCAATCTAAGGGATAGGCATAAGTAGAACTCATTGTCTAAAACAAGAAAAAAAAATTAGATAAAAACAGATAGATAGAAGCTTTTTGAGAAGGTTAGAAAGAAAGGCATGAAGGAGGAAGCTCCCCTTTGCTTTTAATTTCATATTGAGAAATTCAATTCTGAGCAATTGAGCTCAGCAGATTTTCTGAGAACTTGCATTGAAATCAATGGGATTTGCAAGTTCTTAACTTTGTCTGGATGGTGCACTAAATCAAGCTGTTAAATGGAATGATAACTTTGTACCCCATTGACAGAGTAAGAGAAAATGAGAAACTCAGTCATTTTTGCTTGAAGATCCATAAACCTGCCTAGAATTGCTTGTTCATTATGAGCCTTGAGGCCCAGTGGTTAAACTATTGTACTGCAGTGAAAACTGTACTCATGACTCAAGGTTCAATCCCAGGTAGCTGGATCAAGGTTGACTCAGTCTTCTAGCCTTCTAGTTGGTAAACTGAGTACCCAGCTCATTGGGGTGGTGGGGTGGGGCAATGTGTAGCCTGCGTAATTAACTTGCAAGCCACCCAAAGAGTGTTTTAAGTGCTATGGGGCAGTAAATAAGCAACACACTTTGCCTTTTGCTTTCATTACTCCTAAGAATCTGGCTTTCCTTCTAAAAGCTGGACAAATGTATACTATAGCCCTGAATGTTTCCAAACATTTGGCCAGAACTGCCTTCATTCACCTGCCTCAACTCGTTTCCCTTCTTTGAGCTGGTTGGCCACATGTTTTGGGAGCATGGCATAAAGAAGGGTTTCCGTTTTCTTCTTCTCTTCCTCCAAGTGCTTGGACAGGATCCGCAATTCCTCTTTCTTCCTCTCAAGCTGATTGGAGAGCTCCATTTCAGCCAGCCGCTGTTGGTTGAGAAGGATCAGATCCCGGGTGACATCATGGGGTGCAATGTCGGCAATATGCATGTGCCTCTCCTCCAGCTCGTGCAGTGTGCGCAGGAGAGGAGAGCAAAGGTAGAGCATACACTGGACCGACTCCATCCAGATCATCTGCCCTGGTTCAAAGAAAGGCATAATCATTGGCTAGAATTCCTACAGGACATTCTTTATTTCAGTGCTCTTGTTTTTAATGTGTTCATGCAGTGTCCAACTTCTTTCTATCCCCTTCTAAGCTATACATGAGTGATAACTTATTCTCTCTGCTTTTAAGAGGAAGGAATCATTTCAGATTTCAAAGGGTACAGAAAAGATATGAAAGGGGAAAGGATGGATTTTATATTTCAGATGGAAATTAGAGCAAGTATGTTTTGAAGGGCAGGGAGAACAACTCCCCAAAGCACCTTCCAGCCAGCAGAAGTTGTAGTTGACAAGTTATTTTTATACACTCTGAATATAGAGCACCCTCTTCTCCTTCATCTCGGGCTCTATCATTGGGGTTGACATCATCAATGGTGTAGTGGAGCCAGGGGTCTCAGGCTTGAAGTACTATGACTTTTTTATTGACAGGAAGTATAACATGAGCCAACCCATCATCCACTTTCAAGAATCTCTGTTCTCTCTGAGCTTGGCTGTGTGATTTTCTCCTGAATAACAAATTATGCAATTAAATGGCTTTTAAGAGCCATTGCTTTGGAAAAGATGTGCTCCAGACACTTTTTGCTGTTTTCGTTTTTCATTCTGTTCATTGTGGGAAGTGGCTACAGGAATAAAACACTGCTGGACATCCAAATTTGTCACCACACTCCTGCCACCAGATTCAACAACTCCCCCCCCCTCCGGTCCTTCCAAATGGCTTCCTCCTTCAAAAGCTAAAAAGTATATTGAATAAATTGGGCCAGATAAAAATGAGATCCCTGACTCATGGCATGGCCAACTAATTGTCAATAGTTTACTTTCTAAGATAATTTAAGCAGAAATTGACAAAACAGCGCTCCATGGTGCAGGGAAACAAACCTTTGGACTATAGCTCCCAGAATTCCCAGCCAGCATGACCAATGGAACTGCTGGCCAAAGGGTTCTGGGAGCTGTAATTCCACATGGCAATTTTTTTTCAACCTCTGTAGCAACAGGAGAGCCACAGGTTGTGGATGACAAGCTGCAAATGTCATAAGAAAGGAAAACACTCCCGACATTTAGCATGCTTCTCACTACAGGGAGACTCACATACATTATGTCCATGTTAGCAATCATGTCAATTAGGAGGCCAAGCTAAGATCTTTCTCCTGATATCTATCTTTTTGTGTGCTGGGATTTTGCGGGGGCATAGGGATACTGAATTATTGCAGCACTTATATTTCATTTAAGGGCTTTAGCCCAAAAATACTGTACTAAGAAATATTCCTTCATTTCCCATAGTCAGTGTTTGCATCTGCACAGCTAACTCTTGGATAAGTCACATTAGTGTCTCTTCACCTCAGTATTTATTAAGATAGCAAGCTATTACCTCTTAGTTCTAACATCGGGCGCTGCTGCCAGGACTCTGGCATCATCTCTCTCTTGGTCCGGAAAACAAATTGGCTATTGATAAATTTCTGAACACTTGAGATGGTGAATTTCACTTCTGGGCGCACAATGCTGAAGTATTGATTGAGTCGGATGCCCATAGTCTGAAGGCCAGGCACAATCTTTTGAATGCTGACACCAGCTTGCTTTACTTTGAGCTGGAAAAAAATGAAATGACCCTTCAAACCCCTGTAGGATTTTCGTTCACCTACCAATTGAACCAAGGTGTCAAACTGTGGGACACGTAGGATTTTCGTTCACCTACCAATTGAACTTCATTTCATAAATACTTTTGTATAAGTATTGTTTCTAACCCTCCTTCAATGCTCTTATCTCTCATGTGCTTTCCCATCTCTAGCAGCCTTCAATCACTTATGTATCCTGGACAACACAACTCACCATTTTGGCGAGTCATCCTGCTTTGTGAGTCGTCAAAAGTTGAACTCACAAACGAAGCACAAAGTTGCCCCCATGAAACGACGAATAACAAAGTTATTCATTGTTTTGTGGGGGGGTATTTAAAAATACCCCCTCCCCCCTGCTGCCACCACACCACCACCATGCCGCTGCCTACCCACCCACCCCCTGCCAACATCCACTTACTGTAATTGCCATCCTGCTTTGTGAGTCGTCAAAAGTTGAACTCACAAACGAAGCACAAAGTTGCCCCCATGAAACGACGAATAACAAAGTTATTCATTGTTTTGTGGGGGGGTATTTAAAAATACCCCCTCCCCCCTGCTGCCACCACACCACCACCATGCCGCTGCCTACCCACCCACCCCCTGCCAACATCCACTTACTGTAATTGCCGCACGCCACGCCCTAGAGTCAGACACGACTGGACAGTCATGGGGAAAATACCAAGGGGAACCTTTACCTGGACCAAGGGGGAAAACTCCAGGCTTCCAGCATTTTCCTACTTAGCACCAAAGCTGTGGAATTATCTCTCCCAACTTCTTCATATGGAACCAGATTAGGACAAAATTAGGTGTTCAGCTTTGAGCCATAGGTGTTGGCACGCCCTAGAGTCAGACACGACTGGACAGTCATGGGGAAAATACCAAGGGGAACCTTTACCTGGACCAAGGGGGAAAACTCCAGGCTTCCAGCATTTTCCTACTTAGCACCAAAGCTGTGGAATTATCTCTCCCAACTTCTTCATATGGAACCAGATTAGGACAAAATTAGGTGTTCAGCTTTGAGCCATAGGTGTTGGGTGTAGGGAGAGGAGAATGACTGGTGCATTTTATTTGAAATATATAAGGTTGTGGTTAAATGTTGTGTTGCATGTTTGTACACTATTGATTTATTGGAATGCACTCTGGTGCAGAGTGTTTTCTAAGTACAGTGGTGCCCCACTTAGCGACTTTTTTAATTATGAAGGACAAATAAAAATGGGAAAATATTTGTTGATCCGTATTCGTCAGGACTTAAAATTGGACAAATAGATATTGACAAATATTTAACAAATTGGCTATTTTCATTGGAAAAATCGATCCATTTTTATATTAGTTCCCGTCTCTAATCCTTATCCATCTTTCCTGCCAGAATCTCCACCCATATTCTGGCAAATCACATCATCATAGAAATGATCAACAGATTCCAGGCTTTTGTTGGTCCCTTGGACCAAGGTGTCAAACTGTGGGACGCAGTGGTGCTGCGGGTTAAACTGCAGAAGTCTTTAAGCGATCACTATGCGAGGCACCACTGTATGTAAATGTAATACCATAATGTCAGTTTAAAGGTCCAAATAAATCACTTCCTCCCTAGATCCTATCTAAGAGTGGAACTTGAGGAGACCCTGAAGGCTAGGATAGTCTTGCAGACTGGGATTTATTTGAATAGATACCTACAGGACCGTGCTTTCAAAGTAGCTCTACATTGGTTCACATCTATGCGAGGCACCACTGTATGTAAATGTAATACCATAATGTCAGTTTAAAGGTCCAAATAAATCACTTCCTCCCTAGATCCTATCTAAGAGTGGAACTTGAGGAGACCCTGAAGGCTAGGATAGTCTTGCAGACTGGGATTTATTTGAATAGATACCTACAGGACCGTGCTTTCAAAGTAGCTCTACATTGGTTCACATAACCAGAGAAAACTAGTTGTCATCAATGTGACTCACCTCTTCATCAAAAACAATATGGAAAGGAAGCCCATTGCAGAATGTCTTTGGGTCTATCCAGAGGGTCTTTGGGTAGACAGGATTAAATGCTCTTAAAAGTCGTCCTGCAGTATGGGGAGGAAACATGCTGCACTCAGTCTTAACAGAATTTCCTCACACAAATAGTAGCGGTTTACAAGTAGCTTATGATTTCAGCACATTAATTCGGTACTCATTTGTAAATAAACACTCATCCACTCTTCATCTTCCTCCGAGCACATCAGGATGATGTACACAGAGTTTTTAGATCAACATGAGTACACTGCAATTACAAGGATTTTGTTCTTTGGATAACTAATTCAAGGGTTACTTGTTGGTACAGTAATTAAGAACTGCTAGTCTGAGTCTTGGGATATCCATGTTCTTGCTTCCACTGATCCATGGAAGGAAATGTGTGGCTTTCGGTTAGTCACTTTCTCTCAGCCTGACCTACATTCCAGGACTGTTGTGCAGACAAAGTGTGGTAAAGGCCAGTCATATAAGCTGCCTTCAGCACACTGGAGAAAATATGAAATAGGGAAAAAGTAATTAAAATGGCTCCCTGTACTGTTAAGTGAGAATACAACTTGGTTTTAATTGTCCTACTGACACCAAATACTTTTCAAAAGATAACTCCTTTTACCTTTTCCTATGGTCACAATTCCTCGGATTGTTTCCCAATGGCTTTTCCTCACAGGACAAGAAGAAAGCACATTTGCTTTATCTCTGATCTTATTCATGGCCCTATCGATTTCCTGTGGAACAAACCCAAAAGAAATCACAGTATGCCTCACTAATTCAAACTGTTTCAAAACTATTTCAAAACAATTAGAGACATTTGGACATCCAAACATAACTATATATGTCACATGCTCTGAACATGAACTATCTTGTGTTCACTTTGATGGTCTAGGCCTGGGCTGCCATCAGTATCACCACCACCACCACTACTACTAATATTAATGTTAATGTGGGCAGGTCTTCTGGAAAAAAAAACACCCTTGTCCTGGGCCCTAAATATTTTTTTTGCCATAATTCCATGCTGGACATTAAAGTTGATAATACATAGCTCCATACAATACAGAGTCTCAAAACCAATTTAAAGTTTATGTTGTACATTGCATTCTTCTCCTTAATAAAATGTTCTACGCCATCTTTATTCTGAACCCTGATTGGCCATGACCTTGATGCTCCTTTAATCAAATTCTAATTTACTTATATTTCTTTAATTTTAACATTCAGATTTAGATTGAGTTTGCTATTTGTTTCATTAACTTTTATCAAGTAACCTGTGCAGAACATCTAGGTTTCCAGCTAGCGATACCATATCATCTGTGTATCATATATGGTTGATAACCTCTCAGTTAATAGTGATAGTATCATTTTAATCAGCAAGTGCTTCTCTTACAGTGTTCTCAGAGTACAAAGCAGTGATGAGAGTACAGATCCTTAGCACACTTCACTTCACATTGCTATATCATTTGTCATCTGATCTTTAATTTTCACAGGTTCAGCTTCCTCTCCTGCCATGCATGAAGGGTCCAGATCTCACTGCAGTACAGGAGTGTGCTCAGGACCACCACCACCACCACTACTAATATTAATGTAAATGTGGGCAGGTCTTATGAAAAAAAATCCTTGTCCTGGGCCCTAAATATTTTCTTTGCCATAATTCCATGCTGTACAGTATAGTTGATAATACATAGCTCCATACAATACAGAGTCTCAAAACCAATTTGAAGTTTATGTTGCACATTGCATTCTTCTCCTTAAGAAAATGCTCTAGGCCATCTTTATTCTGACCTCTGCGAGGCCATAACCTTTCTGCTCTGTTAATCGAATTTTAATTTACTTATATTTACTTTAATTTTAACATTCATATTTAGATTGAGTTTGCTATTTGTTTCATTTACTTTTATCTGGTAACCCGTGCAGAACATCTAAGTTACCAGCTAGCGATACCATACCATCTGTATATCATATATGGTTGATAACCTCTCAGTTAATAGTGATAGTATCATTTTAATCAGCAAGTACTTCTCTTACAGTGTTCTCACAGTACAAAGCAGTGATGAGAGTACAGATCCTTAGCACACTTCACTTCACATTGCTATATCATTTGTCATCTGATCTTTAATTTTCACAGCAGAATTCCATTGTCTACTTTGCTGGCTTTTATCAAAGACTTGTACTCAGCCATAAATATTCATGTTCATGTCAGAGCATTTCTGTTAATACACAATAAGACCTTTGGGGACAGGGTCCCCCCTTTTTTTCCTTTCCCACCTTTCCCATACCCTTTCTTTTCTTCTCTCTCTCTCTCTCTCTCTCCTGCAACCAGCATGGTCAGTTGGAAAAGTTATTTCCTCATTAAAAGGGGTTTCTGTAGTTGTAGTACAAAAAGTCATTTGCAGGTTCTGAGTAGAACTTGAAGGGGCTTTCCCATTCATTTTCATCCAGGGATGCTACATATGCTTGGATTGGTCTGTGCATCCTATTGTCAATCCATTACTGAGATGTATGGGTAAGATATCAAAAAATACATAAATTTAAACTAATGAGATCATCCTGCACCCGTTAGAGTTCTAATCCTGACAAGATGGCAAGTTCCGGTAAAAGTCCATGGGAGTTAAAGAGGAGAAAGAGAAAAGCCATCATCACTGCCATCGGAACTCAAATGGCAGGATAGTTTTTACTTATTATCAGATAACATATTACATAACATACAACCCTAAAATTGACTTGATAATGTACTTTTTAGATATAAATTGTGTTGCTGATGCTTTCATCCAGAATAAACTTATCATTACCTCTTTTTTCAGCTGCTTTTCCACCTGCATTCCAGAACTTGAAAGGTGTGATGACGAGGAAGAGAACTTGTTTTTTCTTTTGCATGGATATAGAGGTTTTTGCGTGACAAGGAATATAATGTGTTCCTTTTTCCCAGTTCTTTCTTCTTCTTCTGTTTGATTGACTATTTCCATGGAGGTTTCAATGTTGAAAAAATCTAAGGCTGCTGCACCAATGATTCCTGAAGAGGCATAAGAAGAATATTTATTATCATCATCAACAACAACTAATAATACTCTTATATAAAATTAGTATGAAGACTTGCAATGTGCAATTCTGAGCCCCACTGAGCTCCATGGGGCTATCTCTGTATGTTAGAACTGCAAATGATATGGTTGTCTATGTAAATCACACAACTGAAATAGGCAGGCATTACTGGTTCAAATTTTCCATTCACCTCTAAAGCTCACTAGGTACAGTAGCTTCCATTCACTCATGATGGCTCAAACAGATCTGCTTGATGTGGTTGTTGTTGGAATAAAATGTGAAGACACTCAGTTTGGAAAGTTGAGCTTCTTGGTGAAATGGTAGGATGTAAATATAATAAATACATGGTAAAGGCAATGTGATTCTTGTACTGAATCCAAAACCTAGGGTGGGTAATTCCTGTATCTAAACATAACACAGCCCAGCTGTCATGTACTGCTGCAATGGCCATTCCTGAGCTTCTAAGAAGCAGATGAAGCATGAAAATTACACAGATGGATGGATAATCTGCTTGTTGGCATTTTAAAAAAAATATATAGTACATGCTTCCAGGGTGGTTCCAGGGTGATTTATGAGGGTGGGTGGGGGGAAGATAATAAAATAAAACTATAGCTGAAATGTGTAAAAATCTTCCCAAAATGTACATCAGTCAAGCTTCTCTTTCAAACTGTTTTTTCATAGTGTGGTCTTCTGCACATCATTTTTGACAGTGTCAAAACACACATTCACATTAACACGTATCTTATTTTCCTTTACATACCCTTAAGAGCCTTATTAAAACATTAAAAAGTGTGCTGAATTTTCAAATATCAATGGAGTACATGGTTCTCCTAAGGTTATAGCTGATATTGGCTGAACTCCAAAGTGTAGCTTTACACTGTGTAACACTGATGACATCATCAGTAACGGCAGTATTTTGTAAATTAAACCACCTCCCCGCCCCCCTGCCCCCCCCATGTCCCAACGCTCCTTTGAGGTCCCTTTTGTCTTGAGGAAACTCTGGGGGGGGCATGGGATGGAAGTCTTTAATTTTCAAAAATTGCCACCACTTTACTAGTGGTAGCCATTTTTGGAAATTAAAGATTCTCCCTGTCTTGTGGGCCTCGACGGTTTCTCCATGACAAAAGGGATTCCATGGCAGCCTGAGGAACCTGGACCTTGGGGGACAGTGAAGTAACTGGAATGTTTTATTTTCAAAAAAATCTGCCATGGTTTATGACTTTATCATCCTTATGCAGCACAGGTTATGCTGCTGGATTTCGGACACTGATAGCAAGAGGGATTTCTCCTCTCCACAGGAGTTGGAATTCACTGTAGCAATGCAACCAGGAGTATATTTTACTGTCTAGCAGAGAAGGCAGTTTAAAGGCCATTAAACTAGTAGTTGGGGGTTCTAGTGTTTCTGGTCCAAAAATAACCTTTCCTTGCTTTATCCTTCCCTGTCTATCACTTTTGTTGTTTTGTTGTTATGTCTGACTGTTTGTGACCCCGTGGACCAGAGCATGCCAGGCCCTCCTGTCTTCCACTGCCTCCCGGAGCTGAGTCAAATTCATGTTGGTAGCTTCGATGACACTGTCCAGCCATCTCATCCTCTGTCGTCCCCTTCTCCTCTTGCCTTCACTCTTTCCCAACATCAGGGTCTTTTCCAGGGAGTCGTCTCTTCCCATGAGATTGCCAAAGTATTGGAGCCTCAGCTTCAGGATCTGTCCTTCCAGTGAGCACTCCAGGGGACTCTCAAGAGTCTCCTCCAGCACCATGTCTATCATTAGACCAACACAATAAGTTGTTTCTAATTTTCTTTCAGAAGCAAAGGCTGGACGCTTATGATGCAACGATAGCCCCCAATTTCCATAGTTTCAGAGCATTTAATGAAACATGAAAATATAAAGGAGGATCAAGTTGTAAGTTCCTCTAGATGTTTTCCAGATCCCCAGTAGTCACCCTTAGAAATATGGAGAGTTAACTTGCTGAGCCATTTTGTACTTTTATCATTAAATCTTTTCTCACTTTCCTGGTAATCACTGTTGAAAGCAGGAAGGCTCATACGAATTGTTAGGAACATTACCATCAGGAATGGTAACAGAAATTATTTCCTTTATATTCTCTTCCTATTTAAAGTGAGAAATTCATTTACATAAGGATATGGTTAACATTTTACTTGACCTAGGTTTAGCCACAGTTAGAGCAAATTCACTAAAATCAGAGAGATGTCAATTCCCAATGTTTTGGGTAGATCTACTATAAGTATCTAAAATGATCCAACCCTTAGTAAACAAAGAGTATGAAAGATGTCTGGAAAGAAGAAAACATGCTAGGTAATGGACATTTCTCAGTGTGGTGTAGTAGACAGAGTGATGGACAGGAGACCTGAATCTGAATCCTCACTTGACCATGGGGGAGTGGCACTGGTAAAGCTACTCTTTCAATATATCTCTTAAGTTGAAAAACCTGTTAGCCACTGTAAGTCAAATGCAACTTGATAGCACATAACACATATAATGGACATTCAGTAGCCAGTGAATTGCAACTAATTGTGACTCTTGAAGTCTACAGAAAACTACCTACCAGGAACAATATGGCACAGGCCTCGTCTGTCTGAGTAATAATGTAAATGCATTGACCCATCTTCATTCTTTTCTACCCTGAACGAAGGAGCATTCATTTCCTGAAAAACACTAAAAGTGTCAGCAATTGAACATTCTGTCTACTGTCATTCATATTCCAAGAAGAGGAAGGCTGCTTGGCTCAACTGAAGCAACAGACAGGGCTTGGTTGTTCTACCAAACAAAGCATCTGGTAAAAAAAAGCAGTGGCTTCTGCCCACTGCACTTGTCTGTGCACCCTGAACTGGAGAGCACCTGTGGCATTTCGGAGGAGCAATTCATGGCTCCAGTTTGATTTTGATGGAATCTGGGGGGAAAGTTTCAGATGAATTAAAAATGTTTGCATACCCTTTTATTGATATGGGCTGGTGTCTGGGTTGGCTCACCCATGCAATTTATGCTTGACTTTTCCCTCTCCACGTCCCACATGAAATAATTTATGTCTGCAGCTCTACTGACTGTCCACAGAAAGGCAATCTGTGCATTAATGACCCAGAGATTCTACATGGTGACACTCAGCAAGAAGAGCATGACAGATCCACACAGGGCCTTTCTTTCTCCACATGATCATGACTGGAATCTTGTCAGGCACTAGCGCAAAGCCTTGATGATACAGCAAAGTAGGATCTCCTGCTTGCACAACTGTTCCTTTGACATGAGCAAAGCTGCACTTAGGATAGCTAGGTTTTATCTGTCCAAGGAAGTTCTGGATACCTCTTTGCACACAGAGTCAAAATGCTCGTGTTACTGTCATTGTGCAAGAGGTTTTGCTCCAAACAGGATCTTGGCCTAATCACCCAAAGATTGATGGGTATGGTTTTGGGAAGACCAAAAGGCTAAACTACATGCTACATTGCTTGCAGCTAAGCTTTGGTGCTTGTTTTCATTTTTTTTTCTGTTGCTGGTTTTGATTTTGGTTTTCTGACTCCAACTAGTATGTGGCAGCCCGATATGGATCAAAACCACCACAAGTGGATAGGGACTGTTCATCATTCCAGCTGCTTTCCCCTCTTAGATCCTCTTCCTAAACTCCCAATATGGGGAGTGGAAGGAAGGAAGGAAGGAAGGAAGGAAGGAAGGAAGGAAGGAAGGAAGGAAGGAAGGAAGGATATAAATGTCTATAGCTTTTATGGGAATTGTTGGTTTTTAGTCTTAAAGTGTAAGAAAATAGGGCCAGGGAGGAAGATTTAAGCCTTTCCTACCTGCACACAATGATCCTGACCCCTATGGGTACCAGATAAACTTCCTATGGAGAAAAGAAGGAAATTGAGGCTTAGCTGCACGCTTCTTTTGGAGTCATATGTGCTTCCTTTGGAGTAAAAAATAAAACCATACTTAGCTGCGCATTACATATTGAATGCAGCATGGAGTTTAGCTGAGAAATGCACATGTCAGATGGCTAAGATAGAAAATAAAACAATTCCACCGAAAGCCAGGTGAAAATGAAGGTGAGACTTTTACCGAAACCTGAGAAGTTCATGCACAGCTTATCATTGGACACAAGTCGCATTGACCAAAAATAACCAAAAGGGGGATGGGTGTTGCCTCTTTGGTGCTAAGGGGTTGTCTCAGAATTCACACACACTTGGTGTGCAGCACCAAGCACCAAACTGTACATGACTGATACTACTTCTGAAATAATAAAAGGTGCCATCACCAATTTGATTCAGTACAGTATAAACTCTTAGGCAAATTTGAAAACTGAAATTTTATAGAAATCAAAGGGTATCTGCAGCCGAAGGTTCATGTGTGAGAGAAATAAGAAATTCAAATAAACTAGGAAGTTGTGTAGTGGTAAATTTTGAAACCCAGGCACATGTCATGACGGTCATCATAGCTACACGCCAAAGACAGTCCAAATGTTCAGGCAGTTGGGCCAGTCCGTAGCAACAAACCAGTTCTAGTGGTTCTTATTCCTTTGGGGCAGGTCTTTTGTACAGCTAATAACTCTTGATTTCACACTGAAAACCAAAGCAGTTCAAAATACCTTATCATAGGGATCGCTGACAGCCACAAATTATTGCTGGGAAAATTCATTGCTTCATTTCACCTACCAAGAATTGCAGCTCAGTTTGGAAGGCATAGGGAAGCCCAGGCAGGGGTGATAGATGTTATTTCTGCTAACCCAGAAGCCCCATGCTTTAATCCTGTGAACTCTGGCTGTCTTATAATGCTATAGTAAATACATCTTCTACAACATATTATAGAAAACATGTGCTCTGTTATCCAAGGGTAACATTTATGCATGCATCATTTCTCTGCTAATTTCACAGCAATGATTTCTACTTGCCTGGTAAGATAGACTCAGGTAGCTATGCAATGCATCCAAGTTCTCTATAAATTCATAGAGATTTCCTCCCAGAGTTCTCAGCATGTGGTCATAACCTGACCGCTTACAAAATTCGAAGAAATACTCTCCAAACTGCTTCAGGACCATATCGGGGGGAACATCTGGGAAAATAAACACACATTAACAGATCAAAGTGGAACTCTTTCATACAGATCACTTTAAGGCTACACAGTCCTGGTTTACTAGCTTTTTTCCATTAGCTATGCTGGCTAAGATTTCTGGGAGCTGTAGTCCAAGAACATCCAGGGACCCAAGCTTGGGAACTACTGCTCTATTAAGAAAAACATGTGGATACATCGTAGCTGATGGGGAGTTTGATGTTCTCACACCTCCAAGCATTTGATGGCTGGTTCACATACTTTGATTTTAAGGCATCCTAATGAAAGATTTTTGATATAATTTGAAAGATAGGTTGCACCTGCAGTGACAGGTTCCCATTCAGATGAAAATGGCCAAGATATAGAAATGTATTATATTTAGCCACTGAACTGCTAGAACATTTTTTTCAGTAATACAATCTTAGCAGAAAAGAAAGCTTTTCAGATGGAACATCCCTCTCCCCTCTTTTTCTTGAAAATGACATAAACTATTTCTAACAGTCTCTAAACATGGTATCATGTAGGCAAATTACTTACAATCATGCATGACTCCACCCTCCCCCCAATGCTGTGTCTTGTAATTTGCAATAGAAACAAAAGAGTTGATGGCACAATATACAGTAACCAACACATTACAGTTTAAATCCTTCATCAACAATCAAAATTATTGGAGCGTTGGTGGCAGAGGAACTAGGTCCCTTACTGTTTGTCATCTCATCCCTCCCCCTCCCTCTTTTGTTATTTTAGAAAGCTTCAAGAGACATTGACTTGGCTAAAAATTTAGAAGAATCAAAAGTTGAGCTTTGTGAATTTCTTAAAGGTTCCCTTCCCACAGTTTGAACACTGGATGGATCCAATTCAGAGTTCCTCCCCTTTTCATCATCATCATCTTACAATGGCAGGGGTGGAAGGGACTCTATGGATACCTAAACTACTTTGAAGTTCAGAGGTTTGCTGGAGATGCAATCATTTCCACAATGCAATTCCCTGCACAAGAAGGTCAGTCCGTCTCCCTTTCTTCTCCTTCTTCTTCTTCTTCTTCTTCTCCTTCTTGTATTGCAATTACATCATAACTCAATATGTTGTGCATGGTTTTTTAAAGCCTAGAGTAACAGATGTGTGGGCTTCACGCTACGAGTCCCATCACCATTGGTCACATTTGCTAAATCTGATGGACATGGCATGATAACAACATCTGGAGGCATTCTTTATCAAATCTTGTTCTAAGTAGTAGTCTCCTATACAGATAAGAAGGTTTAAAGCAAGAATTGGCAAACTGTAGCACATGGGCTGTGTGCTCCCCTGAACCCCATGGCACCCCCCAAAACCATTCAGCTCCTTTGACCCAATTGGGGAAAATATTTTGGACCCCATGAAATTGCCAATCATTCCTTCCATTGTCAGATTCCTTGCCAGTCCTAAGAGTTATTGGAGGAATCAGGGAATGCTTCTACAAAGGCTGCAGCCATCCATTTTCTGGTTGAATTGTCCCCTCCAATCCAATTGGATGTGTTGTGTTTTTTGGGGGAAGGGGAGCTCAAAGCAGCCATTCTCCTCTTCTAGAGAGTGCTATTGCACATTTCTGGCAAAAAAAAAATGGTTTCAGAATTTGGAGCGGGAGTGCCTAACCATGGAGCCAGAGGTTGGAAGTTCAAGTCTTCATTATGCTTCCCAGGAAAAGGGCCATCCAAGATCACTCAGAGCAACTGTGGTCTTGGACAAACTGTATGGTCCCAGACTGGCACCAGACTGGCAAACTACATCTAAGCGAGTACTTTTCACCTAGAAAACATAAGGAGGCTTGCCATAAGTTAAAAATGACTTAATGGAATGCAGTATGATTATTAATTATTGGAGGGCGGAGAATGGGTAACAGCCTCCAGGGCTCCAAGCATCGATGTGGTCCTCAGACTTTTGCAAAATGCCTGTTATCTTGTTAATCCTAAAAGTGTCTCTTGTGTTTGATTATTTTAAGCAATGCAACAAAGCATGGAACAAGTTACTGTGTTGTAACATTGGAGATTTAACTTGCTTTTTAAAAATAGTATTTCATTCTGAACTTTGAGAACAGTTAATCCAAGCTTGTCAGAGGCATTACGTGAGAACCCAAGAATATATGTTAAAGAAAGCTGGAAAACGTTTTATGATTGGGCCCAGAAACAAACATGAGAAGAGAATATAATATATGTTATGGATTTTAGTATTGTAACACAGCCATAGAGTCAGGATTATAGTACTTATTGTATTATTGCAAACACTTCCCTGTGTTTATGTTTTATTTTGTTTTGTTCTACCTTCTTTTTAACGGACTTGGTGGTGCTGCAGATTAAACCGCAAAAGCGTCTGTGCTGCAAGGTCAGCAGACCAGCAGTTGTAAGATCGAATCCACGCGACTCCCCTAGAGTCGGACACAACTGGACTAAATGTCAAGGAGAACCTTTACCTTTACCTTCCTTTTCCCCCCTGTATTTGTATTCCTTATAATAATAATAATAATAATAATAATAATAATAATAATAATAATAATATACACAGAGTTAAAATGCTGCATTCTTTCCCCTAAAATGCATACCCAAAATTTTGCATGCCTTGTCAATGAGCTGCATTGTGATGTCATCTCCATAAACTTCAAATGTCAGGAAGGTGTCCTGTACTCCCGTTTGGGCTCTGAAAAAGAAACACAAGGTTTTAGCACTATAATAACAATTTTAGGATTCAGCCACCTCTTCAATCAGCTGGTCCACTAATACTAATCATAAATACCCATCATTCAGCAGAGCCATTTCTGTGCTATGCTGACATTAAATTCATTGGTTAAGGAGATGTAAACTTTTTATTTATGCTTTAGTCCCATCAATGTGAAAGAGCAAGTTATTTGTGATTAACTTATATGTGGATAATATTTGAGGATATATATTTCCAGATTAAACTGGAATAATGTTACATAGCAATATCAGTAAAAGTATATTTCAAAATAAATGACACAAAAATGGGTGGAATAGCTAATACTCTGGAAGACAGAAGCAAAATTCAAAAAGCTCTTGATAGGTTTGAGCCCTGGGTTGAAAACAACAAAAATGCTAACGGGAAGTGGTCTCAATCTACATTTGACCAATTAGCTTGTTTTTGTGTAATTTGGTGGTTACACAGCTTTGTTTGCCTTTCTGTTGTATCAGGGACTGTGCACAAAAGGCTGAGGTCATAAAACAAGAAAATATTATTTCTTTTAATGTGTCATCTGACCCTACATCTCCATATACTACAGGGATATATTCCTCATCAAAGGGCAGGTAACTTCTACTAGTTGTGTACTACTAGAAAACTCTACATATTTAATTCTATGTTTAGTGTCTGCTCCAAATAAAATAAATAGGGAAAGGAAAACATTTTAGCTGACAAACACAGGAGACAAACACAGGCATCAGGGAAAACAGTCTAGCCATTGCCAACAGCTAACAGACAGTTTACATTAGTTGATTACTCCACCTACTGCCAGGATGTTTATGAAAGAGAGACTTTTAGTGTTAATTACTTGTGTCTGTATCCTATTTCATGTGATCCTCACTCCTATAGCCGTGTACACTGTATTGTATAGACCTGTGGCCTAAGTACTGTACTTGAACTTCATAAGTGAATTTTAATTCATGAAAGTGTACATGAAATAAATCTGCCTCTTTCAAAGGTGCCCCAAACTTCATTTTTGTTATAAGTGCAGAAATAGATTAACACAGATACCTGTTTAAAAATTATGACCAGCCCAGGTACATAGCCATGTAACATAAAAACATTAAGCTACTTAAATATTAGTTGCTTATGGTTATGAAGGCACAGCCTATGTCCTTATTGCTGTTTTCTTCATTGCTTCCTCATTAAAGAAACATGAATTTGTTGTATCTTTATCAAATTTAGACCTTACGTTGCACACCAAATACAGGAATGCTTCTTTTGTTCTTTAGCAAACAAAGAAGATAGTAACAATGGCTGAAATCTAGTACTAAGCTGCAACTAGAGTCAATGGACCTTATGGAGGAGTTGATTCACCAAATCACCACTGGGCAAATATTTGTGACACACAATTAGATTTTGGCCAGTGTAACAATTTCAGTTACAGTTAATCATCATATCTGAAGGTTGCCACTTAAGGAGTTCCTGAAAGGTTATATAGCTTTATTCTGGTATACTGCTATGTTTTATTTTTGGTTTTTTTAGCCCCTCTATGAGAAATATGCCTTTTGCAAACACATTCATTCAGTAACATGACATTCTGAATTGTTTTGCATAGCAAATAAAGCAATTAGAGCAGAGTAGTGTTATGCATCGAGGCAATCAACTCTATTATTCTCCATAATTGTTTCAAGCAATTCCCAGCAGAGGAAAATCATTTTCCTACAATACTGTACTCCTTCTGTCTTTGTAGAGTGTTTACTTAAGCAGTCCTTGCCTAAAGGCATTTTCACTATGGGGTACAATGCTGAGTTGTTCTGTTGGGCGCTTCCAGATGTTGCAAGGTACATGTTTTCCTCTTAGATGTGCTATGATTATTTGGTGTATTCATCCTCTCTCTTGTACTGTGATGATCTTTTTTTTTCAAGAAAGCATGATGATGTGCAAAATGCTGTTACAACATCCAAAACAAAACAAGAAAGAAACAAAAAAAACCCTCTAGCCTAATCTTCTGCCTTATCATGCAAGTTCTGACAGAAATGCCTGGCAAATCTTTTGCTAGAACCTTTGCAGAGCTAGTGACAGACAGAGGAAGCAATATTGAAACAGTGCATTGGCCAACAACAGTCAATCTAATTCAATAGAAAATACCTGATATGTTCCTATTAGTCACTTAACCTATGATTGGGACTATAGAACTAAATCCAGTTGTTAGTCCCAACTAGATTAGACCCATTGAATCAATGGAGCCTATTTAAATATTGATATAACACATCCTATTCATTGAATGTATCTCCTCTAGTTCGGATTAAAACACTAGTTTAGTACCATGCTTCCCACCCTGGGTCACCAGATGTTCTTGGACTAAAACTACAAGCAATCCTAGCCAGCACAGCTGGTGTTGAAAGCTTCTGGGATTTTGAGTCCAAGAACAGTATGGGACCCAGATACACAAGGGAATATACTTTTAACCTACTCTTGCAGGATATTGGATATCATGCTGTGAATAGAGGACTTGGAACAGTGTCTAGTATGGCTGAGAAGGCCAATTCAAGAGTGACAATCCCTTCCGCACTGAAGACAAGTACAATCTGTCCCCTGTCCAGCTCCCTGATTTAGCTGGTTTTGGGACTGCCTCTTTGCCTCGGCCTGCTGGACAAGGGTCTTTCAAAATGGGAGAGGCCATGATGCACCACCTGCCTCCAGGCGGAATGCTCAGACGTCAATTTTTCCCATCTGTTGATGTCCATTCCTAAGGCCTTCAGATCCCACTTGCAGATATCCTTGTATCGCAGTTGTGGTCTCCCCCTGGGGCGCTTTCCCTGCACTAATTCTCCATACAGGAGATCTTTCGGAATCCGACCATCAGCCATTCTCATGACATGCCCGAGCCAATGTAGATGTCACTGTTTCAGTAATGTATATATGCTAAAAATTCCAGCTCATTCTAGGTCTACTCTGTTTGAAACTTTGTCCTGCCAGGTGATACCAAAAAATGTGTCAGAGACAATACATATGAAACATGTTCAGCTTCTTCTCCTGCCATGCAGAAAGGGTCCAGGACTCTCTGCAGTGCAGAAGTGTGCTTAGGACACAGGCTCTATAGACCTGGATCTTGGTATATGCTGTCAGCTTCTTATTAAGCCATACTCTCTTTGTGAGTCTAGAGAACATGGAAGCTGCTTTGCCAATGTGTTTATCCAGCTCGACATCTAGGGAGAGGGTGTCAGAGATCATTGAGCCAAGGTACACAAAGTCATGAACAACCTCCAATTCTTGTGTGGGGATGGTAATAGAGGGAGGTGAATCCACGCCCTGGCCCATGACTTGGGTCACAAGTCACCCAATAGTAGTGCATGCATTACTCTGGTCAATTTATACGTTTAAACTTAAAAATCCCACAGACTCCACTTAACAATGTTCTTGATCTGCAATGTGAGGAGCTGTATCCATTAAAGCTTTTTTTGCTGGGGACCCAGGTTCAGGAAGTGCTATTCTTTGGCCTTCTTCCAGATATAAAGGTCTTGGGATACATTACCTCAATTTTTCCCATGTTTCTTCACCATATTTTTCAACCACTAGAGACTTCAGGCATGTATTTATGAAGCCATACTGGAAAAAAGGTGGGAGGTTAAAAACAGGAAAAGCAATTATAGAGTGATACGCGTGACACCAGAAGGTCTTTCCTTTTTGCATTTACATGTGTTTATTGATATGAAAGACACTGAAAAAGACAGGGTTGAAAACATAGACTGTGCCTTTCCAATATCTTTGCATGACTTAAAACACTGCTAGAACTATTGAAAGCAGGGCAATCCATAGAAGAAATAAGTCAAAACAGGATCAGGAATGAAATGGTTCTAAACAAACCTCTAAAACAGAGGAAGTTCTGGGAAAGAGGGGGGTACACTGGGAGCCCCCGCTCCAGCTATCCAGGGGCTGCATTCTAACACTAAACGATTGTATTTTGGCATCAGAGTACTAACAGCAAAAACAAAAAGTAACCCCCATTATGATTTCCCTTGGAAAAAGGCACCAGGGAGTTTGCGCTTTGTTTTAAAGCAGAATGATATTTCCAGGATGCTTTGAAGAGTGTGATCTTTGCTTTAAAACAAGGTGTGCTCTTGCTTTTTGAAACTTACAAAAAGCAAGTGCACTTTTGAAACTGAATGAGAGCTTATTTGCTGCTAGTGCACTACTGAAATTCAGAAGCATGACAGGAAGGATGGAATGAGGTGTGCAAAAAAACAGGCCGGTGAATCACTTTAGTGTGGTGGTCAGAATGCTGCAGCAGAATCCACATCCCCATTTAGTCATGTTCCAGGTGACAACGGGACACTTACTTTCTACTTTAACTTACAAGGGTGTGGTAAGGCAAACGTAGAGAAGAATGTATAACGTATTCAATCTTGAACACACTGGAGGAAAAGTAGGATACAAATTTAATACACAAATAAATGCATTCTGGTCTGGTCTACAGGAAACAGGAACATTTAAGCCTATCAACAAAAATGTATGCAGGTAAAAATGCATTTTTTAAAAAAAAAACTCAGCTAAAAATAATAATTACAATTAACAATAAAAAGGTGCAGCGCAGCCTTTGAAGCTCTTTCATAGGGAGAGATTACACTGGAGCAGGCAGGCTTCTCTGGATACAAGCCATCTCGGTTGCAATTCTGCACCCACTTAGTTGAGAGTGAGCCACCTGGGATGGAATAGGACTCTCCTTTAGAGATATATAAGATTGTGGTGTGGGAGCTTTCTGCCAAAAGAAATAGCAAGCAGTGCAACAGGGCTAGGTGTCATGATATTCTGGCCAAGACAAGACTCATGGTACCACGAAGATTTATCTGTTTAAACGTGTCACAGGAGTCTTTATGGCTTCTGCTGGATTCTAAAACAATCACTCCCATGAAATTCTGGATCACTTTTTGTGTTAATGGAAACAGTGACTGCAGAACAGGCCAGATAATGCTCTCCATTGGATTTTCAGTGACAGCATTTCTCCTTATTTGTTGTGTTATGTGCATGGAAATAATTATTGTCCTCGCCCTTAACTATGTCTTGCCCTCCTTTTAAGGCACCTAAAGTGATGTGCGCCGTTCTGTCATTACTTTATTCTGACAACAATCCTGTGCAGTAGGCCAGACAATAATGAATATTGCTTATTTTGTGTTAAATACTGCTAAATAAAAGTGCTAATCATTACCAATAAAAACAGGGATGCTGAGTGTAATTCATATAATACTTAATAACAACTGTAGTAAAATGGATTTTGAATTAGGCTCTCCAATAGCATCTGTGCTTCCTAGCTCAATGTCATGTGCTGAAAACTAAAATATGCTACCAATTAAAATATCTGAAACCCTGCTTCCTACAGAAAAATAAACATTTTAATTATACACTTCCATATGTTTAGACTTGTCAACAATGAGTTCAATTATGCTCTCTGTCTTGGCTTTGTTTTTTTCAGCTTGTACTGAAGCCATAGTACATACAGATACAGGTTATTCAGTAATAATAAAACCTTAATTTCCAACTTTTTATGCATGTTTATTCTTAAAATCTTGCTGTGATTCATGGCATATAATGTATATTCTCCAGCAGCCTCAGGCTAGATCTAATTTTAGTCTCAACTAGAGTAGATGAACTGAAATGAATGAGATTTGTTAGCTAAAAGCAAACATAACATCCACTTATTTTAATGGGCGTACCTTATTTATGACTAGAAATGAAGTAAATCCATAGACTATTTAATAAACATTCCTGATTATTTTAATCAGACTATATCTTGTTTTCCATCTGCCTTATATCTTCCATCTTGTTTGCCTATGTGATTACGGTCCATTCTATTTCAGATTTCCTTATACTTATTATAAACTACTATTTCTAGTTTCACATTTTAGAATGGTGTGGATTCTTAAGCCTAGATAATAAGGATTTTGTACTGTAAATCAGTGAGTATATTTGAAAGACCTGTCCTATCCTTCTGCTGTCATTCAAATAATGTGCATGCCCAAAACCAGGCAATCCAGTATGTTTTCATGTTAACAGGGACATGTCTGAGAGCCCGACACCTGTTCAGCAATCAAAGATCAGTGAACCTATCAATTCTGAAGACTACTTTATGACCCCCATCTGAATATGGTTGTAGTCTTCCTTTCCAACAATACATTATGGTCTAAGTCCCACTTAAGCTGCAATAACATACATACTGTACCTGTTGAAGAGCACATCTCATTGAACTCAGCTATGTTAGGCTAGCAATTATGTTACATAACCAATCTTATTGCTGAGCATTTAGGATTCTATTGTGAGGCTTCAATCCTAGGCACACTTTCCTGAGAGTATGCGTCAATGAAATGAGATTTTTTTCCCCTCAAAGCATAGATGTATAGATTCAGGCTAAATCCTGAGCAACATTGTACAGTACACTTCTGGCACAGTAACAGGACTGTATGACCTGCTTTGTTAAGAGGGAGTCAACCCCTCCTCCCCATGTCCATTTCAAATTTCTTTCACACTTTTCAATTTGTTGCTAGCCAGCAAATTTCCCACAATGTTGTTTTATTGGGAAACGCATTTTCTCATATACAAATGCACCATGCAAAGTCCATGGCTTTATGTAACCTACGGCCTAGTCCTATGCATGTCTACTGAGATATAAGCCATTTTGATTTCAAAGGGGTTTACTGATCAGTGAGTGAATATGGGGTTGCAGCTTTATTCACCTATTTGTAATTCCCAGTAAAGGAAGCCATGAGTCACATTGAAATAATACTTGTCATAAAGACGTTTATGATTTATGAGCAGCTTCTCTGCACGTCTTTCATGGAATACTTTATGACTTCCTGACATTGCTATAAAGCATTTGGGAAAACAATATATTTTAGATATGCATTACAACGCATTAAGTTAACCATTCACATTTTCTGTAAAATTCCCCCAAGAAGTGACTGATTTATATGGCTTAGGATCAATATACTTAAAGACTCAAAGTTAGGAACTGTTTGCAGTGGAACAGTTCTCTCAGAAGCTGATGGACACTCTTGCTGGAGGTTTTAAACAGAGAATATATGGACATCTGTCAGAGCTGCTTTTCTTACAGATTTCCTGAATTGCTGGGGGCTGGACATGTCTGTGAGGTCTGTTCCATGCCTGTGATTCTAGGGTACTTTGAGCTCTGCCTATTTGTAAGCAGAAATTTTCCTGCTGATCAGCAAGCGTTTTTCTTAATATTTAAGACACCCTCTGGAACACTGGGAAGTGTTACTCTGCCCATGCTTACTACTTAACCTTACACATAAAGCCTTTATGTCTTGCCTACTTTTACTGCTTCCCGAGATCAACTCCTCAAAGTGAAGATACAAAAACAGTATTCAAGCATGATGCTCAGCCCCATGAATTTAATCAACAGTGAACTCAGCTATGTTCAGTGGAGCTTAGTAGTCTCAGAGAGGCGCGTGCCTACACAAGATTACAGCCTTAGTAGCTGGTGCAACTCAGCTACTAGCTGTACAGCCCCAAACAGAAATGGAACACAACAAAAAACTAGCAGGCACGTAAATTTGAACCCTTTCCTTCTTTCCAAATGCCACCAGTTCAGTTGAAAACAAGGGGCAACCACCGACTGAGAGGAAAGCGGGCTCTCGCTGAGGAAGAAAAAGAGGAACAAAATGTTCTTGACTTTTATGTGTGCGAGCAAATCCTACTGCTTCTCGGAGTACTTATTTACTCTCTCACACATCATTCATTCTCCAGAGGCATTGACCAAACACCTCCTGGTTTTTGACATCAGCAGCCGTGCCTTTGACTTTATTGGAGGTTGGACTGGTCACCGAAGCGGCGTGAGGGGGGGGGACGGCCATAGGTTGCCAGCCCGAAGTGGCTTGGCTCAGATCCGGATCGCACTACGATCTTAAGGTCCTCAGAACAGTGACTTTGTAACTGGATCCTAACAACTTGGTAACTACAGCATTGGGAATGGAAGACTTTAGGGGTCTAGTCTCCTTCCTTCCTTCCTTCCTTCCTTCCTTCCTTCCTTCCTTCCTTCCTTCTGGGATTTGTCCCTTTCCTCTCCCTCCCGCCGCCCAGGCTTAGGTTTAAAATCAGCCCGACATCAAAGGACATTGGACCCTCCCTCTATATCCTTCTAGTGACTTTAAACCACATATTCACTCTTACAGCGACGTGGTGGAGGTGAAAGAAAGACGGTCGTTACTCACCATTCTGGCGCATGACTCAAAGAATCCAGTTGTGCGACATGCTTTTTTTTAAATCCCGTCTTGCCTGGATCTTTGCTTTAAATAACCCAAACGTCCATCTTCTGGGGGAATCCTTTCCCTTCTCGAAGACGCCAAGCTAGTTAGGAAACCGCGAGGAACTAGTTTCTTTCTGCAACTGGGCAGCTTGGAAGCCCTGACTCGCTGGAAGGAACCGGGGACTCGCCAACCCAAGCGGTGTGCGTGCAGCCCCCATGCTCAACCTGACCTCATCCCCCACCCACTCCGGCGACCTTACGGCTCTGTGCTCTCGCCCGCTCCAAGGTGACGTCGGCCTGCCATGAAGTCACGGCACGCTGCCTCGGAGCCCAGCCGAGGAGCGCAGCGACACCCGCTCGGAAACAGCGCCTCTGCCTGAAGGCCGGCCAAGCGCAGCTTTCCCCTGCACTTTCCCCCTACACTCAAGCCCTGCTTCAACCGGAAAGCACGGAGAAGCGACTGTCGCTGTCCAGGGGTCGGTGGTGCTGAAAGCGCCCATCGACAATAGATTCCCTCCGCGCTAAAGCGCGACCCAGAATTGTCCATGAAGAAGGCGAACCTTTTCCTCCCACTGAGAGAGAATCCGGGTGAGACCTAGAGCTCTTTAGCGACCTTCAGAGCACATGTGGGAGCAATTTTAATTAGGGAAATAGAGAAAATAATAGAGTCACTTCACCACCTTCCCAGGCTAAATCCCTTTGCAAGGGACTTGCTAATGAACAACCTGTGTACGCCTTGAAAGCAATGCAGAATTTCTAAGCTCCCTGTGCAGGTTCCTTCCTGGGTTATCCAAATAATCCAAACCATATAGGTTCCTATTTCTTTATTTATTGAATTTTGCTGTCATGGTAGACCTCAAGGAAGCATATGCAAGGTTTTCAGTCTGTCCCTAATCATAATATGATTTATTTCTCATATATGGAGCATCTAGAGGAATGTGTGTGATAAAAATTAAGCAAGGAAGCACCATAAAAGGCAGATTAAAAAGAAGAGGAACAAGGAAGGAATCTTGATAAAACACAGGAAGTCAGTTCTAGAAAGCTTAAGTGGTTTTATTTATTTATTTATTTATTAAATTTATACCCCACCCCTCTAGACCATGTCTACTCGGGGCGGCTTGCAACATAAAATATATCAATATAAAATATATATAATCATAAAAAATATTAGTTTAAGAAGAGGAACAACAAATGGAAAAGAGGAATTGGAACTCCAGGCCATGGGAATGATATGGTTTGAATAAGAAAGTAATAAGTGTAAACAATGACCTGGAAGAACAGGATTTAAAATAATACACTAAGTGTTGTCTTAGATGACTAGAACTAAAATGCGAAGGTGATTTAGATAAGAAAAAGAAAATTAGAAACCTAGCCACAAGATCAAAACAACACATTAAGAGAAATGAAAGCTTTAGTTTGCAAATGGGGATAGATCAGGTAAAAATGCAATGTTTAAACAAATAACATAGGAAATGAAAAATAAAATTTGAGAACTATGTGGCATTTCAGAAGGTCAGGAAAGGAGAAATCTTGTGGTGTAGTTTGCCTGGCCTCAGAAAATGAGTTAGAGTGCCGGGAATGGGAGTACTCAGCTGAATCTCCCAGCGCAGGGAGACAAATTTCAGGGCCATGGTGAAAGGGAAGGAAGAGAAGTCTCATTTACTGCTATGGGGTGGCCATAGTGTTTGAGTACATAACTCCTGCCCTCTCTGAATTGGCACCAGGGCTCACTGGCTTCCTGTATCTCTCATATACATAATATATCTGTAGTACAAGGCACCCACAATGCCTCTCTCACTGCCTCAAACATGCATGCAGGGACATTATTTTGCCATTGTTAGAGAGGTTCCTGCCTACTGTTACATCAAAAGGCCCCACAAAATAATCTCACAAAGACCCACCCCATGCCATTTGTCCCCAAGGGGAAGATGTGGCCATGACAGCCCTTGACAGACAAGAAAACACTTGGTAACCATTTCTGAAAAATACTTTTATTCGGTTTTGAAAAGAGGCTAAACAGGTCTCCTGGCCCTCAGAAGAGACAGCCTGCTTTAGCTCCACAAGAATGATCACACTGTGGTCCTTCGCATCACCACCCTGGGGAAGAGTAAGCTCCTGGCCCTGCAAGAAAAAGAGAGAGAAAAACACCAACTAAGGGGCGAGCTCATCCACCACTGTCAGCCAGCTTCAAACCAGACGCATCCACCAACCAAAGTTCTTGCAACTTCATCCCGAGGTTCCGCTTGCCAACAACCGCTGTCCTCCACCAGGACTATCTACCCGTTCATCTCTTCCACTCTGCTCCTGAAGCCAGCTCCCGCCACCTCCTGAATGCTTGGGTCACACACATACCCCGGCAACATCCCCACAGAACTCCAGCCAGCCCATTCACTCATTCACACACACATGCCTGGGCTTCCATCCACCAATATCCACCAAGCTTCCGCCACCTGGTTTCAGGAGGCTAACTTCCACCAGCTTCATCCACCAACCTCTGCCAGCTTCCGTCTTGCGACACCAGCCTGCTTAAGCCAGCAGATTCCACCAGCTTCTGTCTGCCAACGTCCACCAGCTTCCCTCCGGTCCATCGCCTACATCAGCCAGCTTTAAGCCCAGATCTCTGCTGGCTTCAAGCTGCTAACTCGCAAGTCCACTTAGCAAGTTCAATAGAGAACTTGTTGAGAAGGTCTGTGTCCCCAGCAGCCACTGTCTTGCTGGACTGCTCTCTAGCCACTGTCCTCTCCTCTGGTCTCCTGCCCTGCCTCTCAAGCCCTTTTATCAGCAAGCAGAGAGGTGGGGCCCCTGTGATGTCATAAAGACCCAGGAGCATGTGGTGAGTTGCCAAGGCAGCAGCAACAGCAGCCCCCTCAGGATTGGCTAAGTCCTGGTGATGATGTCAGCAATCTCTTTGATTCTTAGAGTAAATCTCCCCTTTTTGGCCTTTGGATATTGTTCTAGGCTGGTTAAGCAGTGATCTAGGCTGGTCTAGGCTTAATAAGCAGTTTCAGGAGAAAAAATGTTTTCTTTGCCTTGCCTTAAAGAGCTAAAGGTCAAATCCATGGCACTGGAATAAAGGACCAGTTGAGTAACTGCCTTCAGGTAGTTCAGTAACAGCCACCCTCAAACCTCAAGGAGTGGTTGCTACTTCACTTTAAACTCTGCTGCCACTAACTTATCCTTAAAGAATCATAAAATGACAAGTGTAACTTTTCAAAACAAAATCTGGTTTATTGATTACAGGAAATAAAAAATAGTAAATCACTGGTAAAGAATCAATAAGTCAATCACTGTAAATAAATCACTGGCTCTCACAGATTATTTCACACTGACAGACTCTCTCACTCACTATAACTAACAATCACTTTCAACTCTCAGCACAAGCTCTATCTCTCATCTCTAATTTCTAATCTCCCCTCACACACTCTTCACCCCCCTTTTTATATCAGCTCCTCCCCTTAAGTTCCACCCTCTGTCACACCATTGGCTGATGACTCACTGCCCAGCTGTGACGGACAGGTGATGTTTTGGCTGCCCGTTACAATACCCCCCCTTAATAAGTTGTTTTGTGGGGGAAAGCTAAAGTGCTTTTCTCCCAAAAACAACGAGGAGCAATATATCAAAATTTACATTTCCCCAACATTACACGCACACTTACCAAAATGTTTAACAGTTCAATCGCAGAAAAAGTCATACAATATAACATTTTTCCTTCTTATTACTTTAAAACACTTTAAACAATTATTATTCCTTATACTCTAAGCATTTTTATTAATTCCAACAATATACTTTACCTTATCACCTTATATTTTACCATTAATTTTCATTAACTTTATTAACTTTACAGAAATCACCATTATGCCACTTATAAACACTTTAAAACATTCTTAGAGTCCAATTTTTCTTTTCCATCTTCAGTCGTCGGGTAGTCTAGAGAGGGCATCCGCAGCTCAGTTCTGAGTCCCTTTGACCACTTTAACCTCAAAGTCGAAGTCCTGTAAGACCAAAGCCCACCTCATCAGTTTACTGGCCTTCATAGTCCTTAGCCACAACAGTGGGGAGTGGTCAGTACAGAGGATGAAATGTCTCCCCCAGATGTATGGTTTCAGTTTCTGGACCGCAAACAAAATGGCAAGACACTCCTTCTCGATGGTGGACAGGTGTCTTTCCCCTTTCTGTAGCTTCTTGCTCAGGTAGGCAACCAGATGAAGGTCTCCGCAGTCGTCACTCTGGTACAGCACGGCTCCTAACCTGGAGTTGGACGCATCTGTGAAGACGGTAAACTTATGATCGAAGTCTGGAGCTCGCAACACAGGATTGGTGATTACCGCCTCCTTCAGCTTCCCAAACGCCTCCTCGCAGCTACTGGACCACTGGATGTTGTCAGCACTCTTCTT